CGTACTGACGCCAAGATCTGCCAGGAAGGATCTCCCGCCGACGACATCGCGGAGCAAATAACCTCTCTCGTGTAACAATTACAAAATTATATTTTTCCGTCGAGTCCACGAGGCTTGCTGACGATGATCAGGTTTTGAAAAGGAGACTTGAAGACTAAGCCGAGGAAACCGTGGTGACCGGAATTTAGTTTCACACGACGCGCTCAAGTTAGAAGTGTCGTAAGTCCGGTCGTCTTCCGCTAATTCGCACACGCAGTGGCTACAAAGTTTCAAGTTCAAGCGTGGCATTATTGTATATTTATTGTGTTTTTTTTAAAATGATAGTCACATCTGCATGAGCGTCCTATTTTAAATATCGAATTTACAAAAGTTTTTGATGGCAAATAGATTTTAAAAAAACATATATGAGTATATGGACTGCAATGCGACGCAACTAGCGAATAAATTTTGGACTTTTCTTAAAGTTTAATGGTTACAACAAATCATTCCGGTCATTTTTTCTTTTTGAGTTTGGCGTTTTGGCCCAGAACCTTGAGCTGAACAAACCATATTGCTCCAATATTCTGTGTTAAACGCCCTCGACGCTCCTATTCCGTGTTATAAAACAGCGTGATCGGATCTCTGCCGTGATTTCTCGCGTCCCGCATGAGGCGCACTTTCGCAGCTGTGCGCATCAGATTGGTTGCACCGTTCAAACTTTCATCCTGACCTTTCAGCTCCATAACGGTGCGCAGTAAATCGATTAAATGCGTGCATTCCGATAATTTATGATATTCATAATAAAGTCTCTATAAAGGTTGTTGTTGTTTTACCATTTAACCTCACTGGAAAAAAAACACATTGGATCTACAGTCCAAACTCTTGAAAGAGTTTGGACTGTACAAGAAAAAATACTCTTGATTCAATCGGATTTTTGCTTGAGTCAAAACGAAGTCAGCTTAAATAAAGAGGCTTGGTTCTTGATTTAAGCTAGATTCTGATTGAATCAAGAGTACTTTTTCTTGTCGATGTTTTAAAGAGTCTGGACTCTAGATCCAATGTGTTTTTTTCCATTGTAGTGAGATTTGTTTTAGAATTGCTTTACCCCAGACAAAATTGATAATTTCAACTATCCCTGGGTGATTTTGGTGCTAGCCAGGAATAAAGTTGAAATCACTTAACTTTAATTCCGTGTGGAATGCAGACGCTTTTGAGGGATTCCATCACACTAGCTTCGTTTTTAAAACATTCAAAGTTGATTTATTGGTTTGACTTCGCTTGTATCATTCTTAAAATGCACTTGTATTATTAACAAACAAAAGCCAACAAAATCAGGGAGTAAAAAAATGCAAAATGTATGGTGAATGTCCAGTCTGACTTGGATTATACAATAATTTATTGATGCAATCGGTTTTGCAATTACACTGCTCATAACCTCATGAAAATTCACCCTTAAATACTCACTGTGAAATGTCTTGTTTTCCTCTTTCTTCTACGTATTTATCGTTATTGATGCCAGACAAAGAAATAAATGCTTTCTTAGTTACCACCGTGCCTACTTCATTAGCACACTGATGAATCTGATTGTACGTAAAATGCAAATGCGTAAGTAGGTGCAAACTATTCGCATTTCATAGTTTCTCAGCGTTGAAAAATATCAGCAGTCTTCACGACCAGGGCCGGATTTAAGGGGGTGGCCACATGGGCCACCCATGAAAAAAGTCGGATTCCGGAAAAAAATTACAAACTAGAAAAGGCGACAAAATCTCTTATTTCCTCAGAGTATAGTAATTTATAATTTTGTCGTCTTTTGGTGATAAGAGACAGCACCTTCAATAAATTGAGTTAAGAGAGAAACCAAACCCATAATTTGGCCTGGAGCAGCGCGGCGCAGAGAGCAATGATGACGAAGACTTGAGATGAAAAGGAGAAGCCTTAGGCGCGGCGGTCGCATGTAAAACATATTAGAACCTACAGGACTGCATGAATACTTCACGCATTGCGTCAAACACAGTGCGGTCAGCAGCGGTCGACGTGACATGCATAGCGCCTACAAGACTACATGAATACTTCACGCATTGCGTCTCACGCAGTGCAGTCAGCGTGAAACGCATAGCGTCTACAAGACTGCATGAATACTTCACGCATTGCGTCAAACAGTGCGGTCAGCTTGGCGCGGCGCGGCGGCGGAGGAGGTTAAAATTATTAAACCACATTCATGCTTGTTCTTTCATGATTTTTCTGTTAATTTTGTGTACATGGATGGCCTTGTCTACACAGAGATAGGTTTACGAAACTTAACTTATGCTAGTAGTGTTGACGGGGCTTTCGCAAAAAATGTGTCCAACTCGAGTAAACGCGTCTTATGCACCCCTCCCCCTCCGGATGGTTTTTATTGATGTTTCAAAATGAATTAGATGGGGGTGGAAAATTGCGGGCGGCCCATGAGCGGCAAATAGGTAAATCCGGCCCTGTTCACGACGATAAACAAAGTACAATATGTTGACAGGTTTTTTTTTAATTTCGAATTCTCTCGACTTATTCTGAAATTTTAAATGATTTTTTATAAAAATTAATTTACTTGCGGAAAAATAAGAGCGGCAAGTTTTTTACGATTGAAAAAATGCAATATTTTCGCTGGAAGTAGAGATTCAGGGTTCCGCAGCCAAATTTCCCGACTTTTTGGGTTTTCGGGTTCCGCAGCCAAATTTCCCGACTCTTTGGGTTTTCTCGGGCTTTTTCTATCCATCTTTTCCGTTCCTGGCAGAACTCTCCGTACTGTGCATACACCATTGCGCTTCAGTATCGGTGGTTCCTCACCTCTTCACCGCTCCATTTGATCGCAATTACACATCGAGTCATTGTGAATATGCAAATTTACACCGGTGACGCTCATTACCATTTTAAATATCATTTATCTATTCCACATGCCATCCGAGGGCGGAGAAGATTTCATCTATTTGATGTATATTCAGCCTCATTTTGAATGGAAAAGTCATGTTTTTCGGGTGATATCTCAACATTAAGCAGACTCGAAGAGAATTCTAAATATTTTGATATCATATTTATGTACGTATAGAGGTCGCTTTAAAATGGCGCGCCTTTCGGCGCCTTTTTAAATTCAAAATGCCTACACAGAAACCAAAGGATCTTGTGAAAGGCAAGAGTTATTGGATTCCAAATTCCACGAACTCTTTGGGAACTAAATTTACCGAGACTTTAATTATTAAATGATATTCTTTATTGTGAAAGGGAATATTTTTTTTTTCCCCCCACGAGGTGAATTCTGATTAATTCTTTTTAGTTACCATTAATTTTAAATGGTAGTTTTATTAACTACAGAAAATTTTCGCCCATAAACTTACTATTATCACGGTATATGCAGGACTGACCTCTTGATCCTAACACGTTTACTTGTTCCATTAGTGCTGATACGCTTTTATTGCGGTTAATTCGTAAATTGGAATTCCGGATATCATTCCGAAAACAAATCTCATTAAACCATGCGCACGACTGTCCCACTTGGCCCTCTGGCTTTGCTGTATTGCGAGCTCTTTGATTGTGTCAAGGCTGATTGGCAAAACGTTATTTTGAATCCAGTTGGCAGTCCGCACAATTGCAGTTAGTACCTTCTTCTTGATATAGCTCAATTTAAAAAAAAAACAATGCTTCGCGACGATTTGATGCCGTTATTATTAGATGACTGATGAATGTTGATCGAATTAAAAACGTGAGGGATTCGCTCTTTGCGAGAGTGTTCGAAATCAATGCACTGAGAATGGACGTCTTTAGACAAGAGGGAATGAATCTCTAAGGGTAGTATTTTAAAAAAATGGAAGGAAATGGAGCTTCTTACGGTGTTTTGTTTGATACGTGTTATTTTCTCCTCCCCCTTCTTTTTTTCAAATTACTTCTGAAGATACAATGCTTCTGTTTTACGACACCGTTCAGTTATTATCAAGCTAAGACAGGTGAAAAAGAAATGTAGGTAGCTGCTACTATGTTTCAACACGTTATCAAAAATAAGAATTACGATAACTTGATGAAATTCACCCTGTAAGCGTCGTGCGGTATCTGGGTAGCACCCAAAAGATTATGATATAATTTTGTTGGATATCCGTCTTTGTAATGCAAATTGTTTTCTTCTTCTTCTTCTCCCAACCGCGTTATTGACTGATGCAGTAGTGTTAAATGACACGTGAGAGGTCATAAAACTGGCCGCCGAAACAGAACAGTCATTCACCCGTGCCAACAATGGGTATAAAACTCATTATTCGACAAATCGCATTTTTTATTCAACATCTTCGTAATTCAGAAAAGATAAAACCTGAAATCCCCTCCTATACTTGAAGAAATATTCTAAAACTGCGCCGCATTAAGGAGACCTAGCCGACGAGAGAAGTCTGACCTGGCGAGGAAATCTCTTGTCGAGTTATTCAGTCAATTTGTCTCATTCTGATTAAAAGTTTTTACTGTTCAAAAATAACTTATTGCCTACCCTGGAGGTCTAGATATAAGAGGTCCAATTACTTGGCATTTTCTTGATACATTTTTAAACTTCTGAATTTAGGTCACGTGTTCTTCATCATTCTGTGATTTTCAACCCACAAGCTAACTAAAACATGTACAACACATTCGTAAAATTTGTATTGAGTGCGTACTGGCAATTTCAAAGACCTTGAGAATGAATTAGATAGAAATTTTGGGCAAATAATTATTTCCAAAAGCCTAGTTTACTTTGGTATTCGGATTATGACTTACGTTTGGTAGTACACCCTTACGTCTGATCAAAATGAGCAAACTCTTGCTATTATCGTTATCTGAACTCCTTTTCCATTGCACAATCCATCATCCTTATATTGCAACAGAAAACATATGACGTATTTCGCTTTTCCACGCGATAAAAAGCAAGGATAAGCGACGAAAACAACTGTTTGAAAAACACTCCAAAAGGGAGTGACGTAAAGCAATCTCGGTGGAGTAGAGTGAGTTAGAGAAAGGAAAAAAGTCAACATTCTCACCATCTGTATTTTTCCCATGATCCTGGCGATTCAGTACGTCAAATCCATCAAAACTACGCAATCCGCGAACGCACTGTCACAAAACACCGCGGGAATCTAATCGGAAATTCTGGCGCGCCGCATTTCGCGCACATGCACCTACGTATTACGCCGAAGCGGCTGGACTCAAATTTCCGGTTGAAAAAAGTTGCGGGCCAAAGTTCAGCAAGACTGTTGGAACACCGCCGGTAAACACCACATGTTGAGATGCACTCGAATACTTTCGAAGAGAAAAGTGGTTTTTACCGTTAAGTCCGATTTTGAATGGAAAAAACAGGTGATTTTGTATCAACCCCGCGTTTCACTTGTAACAAGTTCAAATAAAGTCACTGTTTTAGAGGAACACAACTCGAGATGCAAGCTCGCACTTAATATAGTTTGTTATAGGTCGGGTTATGTTTACGATGCCTGGTGGTTTTCATGTAGATAAATAGTTACGTGAAAACTGAATATTGCTCAAGGCACATTCTTCCGGTTTTGTCCATGATGAAAAGTTCAATTTTCTCGTGAGACCGAAAAATGTTCACAGTACATCTCTCACATTCATGCGGTAAAAATTATTTTTTTCTGCCTGAAAAAAAAAAAATAGTTCTTGAAGGTGATTACCAATACATGCTAACTAAACGGTGGTTTTAAGAACCAAAATCGCTAGTCTATATTTGCTCCTACAGGATCTCACGGGGCTTTGTGACAAGCTTATCCAAACGCTGAACAAATAGCTAACGGAATGAGCAACCAAATTGAATTTTATAATTTTCGGGGAGAACTCTCATCATCGTCATTAATCTGAATAAATGATTGATGATTATTGTCGAATTTATACGAAAATCTCTGAGTAGACTGATTCCGGACAGAAAAGCTATCTAACTCTAACACCTAATGTCGTCCCTCACGACATATCGCCGTAGCCAGGGGAATCGAACTGAACAAATTCAGTGATTTTCAGTTGATTAAAAAAACTGTGTGTTTCTTTGACAGAAACGATAGTTTCGAGAAAAAAAATTAATGAAAAATGTATAAGATCACAAACTGCGCTTTTTGCACTCATAAAGTTTCATGTTTTTTTTCAAATACTCATTCATGAAAGGTAGGGTGGGAGATTGTTGAGGTATTTTTTAAAACCGCTGATTATTCGGATCCTCGATCACATTTTAATCAATTCACGCATTTTTTTCGTAAAACACAATGCAAAAAAAAATGCGCATGTTATACAAAAAGTGTAGTTTTAAGAAATTTTTGCCTTAATATATATTTGTCTATTAACACCATAAATCATCTCAAGTATTTAATGTTAGAGCAAATTCACCCTTATTAGATTGGAGTGCATCAATTGCTCTACTAGCATCAATTGCACTACTACTAGAGAGGGGAAAAAAAGAAAAACCGACTCGTTTAAATAGAAATTTTCCAAAATGACGTTCAGAGTTCATAAAGACTGACGTTATAGGGGACGGAACCACCGTAAAAACACCGCACACACGAGTAGGTTTGTGGTGGGTTATCGATCGCACGTCTTTACGAAAACCGTACTTGAAGTTAGAGACGTTAAGTCCGACGCCGTAGAGAAGCGAGCGTTTACTGAACCGCATTCGGCGCACAGCCGGCGTCACGTCCCGGGCCGGCAGCGGTGCTTTCGACGCGGCTCACCTTTCATCAGGTGTAACAGATAGCGCTGCCATCGCGCAGAGAAATCGTGCCCAAAGAAGCTCCCTGGTTAGGTCGCTTCCATAAGTAGTAAGTACATGAAGATAGTAATTTCGTCTCGCAGACATACAGGGCCGTATAAGTCTCACTGGGCCGAGTTGGGCGCACGCAACGGGAAATTTTCAGATGTATTTTCGCAGACATCAAAACGACGCAGACATTCGGATAAGCGAATTTTATTTAAAGTTCCAAACCCCTTCGGGAAGTTCTGTCTCATCAATCACCAACACCAGTGGACAACGTTGTTATCAGATTCTACCAATCAGATCTGTTGGTTTTCCTCGCGAGGTGGTACCAGAATCACGCACCAACGCAACGTTGCGATTCGTCAGTCACCGAGTCGGAAGTTCCGAACTCAAATGGAATGGCAGCTAGGAGGTTCGGACAGACAAGTAGTACCGAACCTCTAAGTAAAATTCGCTTAATGTCAATGCCCAAAGGGTTATGGTTCGAAAGGGGGTAGTTGAGGCTAGGTGTCGTAGGGCGCCAAGGGGTGCTAAAATATGGAGGAATTTCGCAGAACTATCTTTTTATGACACATGGCGCAACTGAACTTAAAAAGTTTACTTTTTTTATCCAATCTATCAGTTCTCTCCTGATACAGCTATCTATAGCCCTATATTTTACAGCAAGGTACATTATTTTTAAGTTTGAAGTTATTCTAATTTTCTGGGGATGCTTCCATTTGAATACTTGGAATGCCGGATTCATCCAGCGCGAGTCCCTACGCAATGTACGTCCCTTCCGTTATGTAAAACACTGGATATCATTGAGAAATTGAAAAATCAATTAAGCATTTAACTAAAAGCTGCTAAACACAAAATGTGCGTAAATGCTTAAAAATATGTCAAAGGGCGATCGCCCGAGGCGAAATGAAAACTTAGCGATGTGACTCTGGTCCTGCATTGGACTTAACTTTTTAGGTTCTTGCACATCCGATTGATACCAAGATTCTGACACAGTTTTGGACGAGGTGCTTGCATTGAGAGACGAGATCTGAATTCAAAAGTAGAGAAGAAGGAACTAAAGCTGAATCAGCTGACAGCATTCTTAGAAGTAAACAGAGCGCTTACCTCCGCTGCTGCCAACGTCGAGTCTGGAGCCAAATCGAGCGTTAAAAGTCTCAGATTCCCCATTCTAAATTCCATTTTTCTTCTCTTTTTTTTCTGCCGCGTAAGAAGACACAAAAGTTTGTAACTAAAAAATCATTCCGAAGATATACTAAACAATGATAACCGATGGTCTTTTCTTCCTCGAGTTAATTGGTCCAGAGCACAAATTCAAAATCCTTGCGTTCAGTTCTATCACATTTACAAAGTTTCAGGGACACTGACATCTTCATTTCTATATTAATACGCCTCGGAGAATAATTACTAAAAATGATGTGAAAAATGAGTATGCGTAAATCATGTATTTTACAGAGGTTGGTTTTTGCCTACACTGAAAAAAATGAGTTAGCGTCAGATGACTAAAAATGGTTTCTATACACTAACTCAAATTGTGTGATTTGGACACACATGATTTTTGGTTTCTGTACACTAACCACTATTAGTGCTGGAAACTAATTCCGCTACTCTAATTCGCATTCGGTAGGGTTGGGTCAACCTAACCTCAAAACTGAGAGAGGAGAAAACGGCTTAGCGAATGATAACTGGACAATACTTTCAGGAAAAGAAGATTTCTTAAAAGATGAGAGGTAAAAATCAACTGACCGGTTCCAAATGAACGACAGAGGAAAGGAATATCCCATAGGTATGTGCAAGTAGACAGAATTATCCTTTAGAGAGACACACACTCACACATGAAACGGTAGCGAATGTTCACACTGAATAAACATATCTCGTCCGAACACTTGAGATATTCTTTTGAAATTACGGGAGAACACGAACTATAGAAGTAAGCAGTAAGTTCACAGATTTTCGTAAAATATAAACTGAACGCGGAACGCTTTAATCGCAATTTAATACAGAAGATTGACGACTCCAACGAATATCATGCTTGTTTACGTTTTGAATCGAACAGACGATTTCTAACCTTAACAGGTTTATTTATGTTGCTTTCGAACGTTTTCAAGAAAGAGAGGACACTATAAATCATACCGGGAGTATTTACATTGTCAAACGAGCCCGAAATTTCACATTTTAATTGATTTTCACGAGCTGACGCGATTGAGGCTGTTGTACCGACGCCACTTTTTCGAAACTAAATAAATGTAACGGACAATGTGGCAGTTAGTGTTGAGGGCGAATTAGTTTGACCCGAAGGTGAATTTGTCTTACCACAGCGCTAATTTTACAGCTAGTGCTGTTTTCCAATTCTGGTTCGCGCTCTAGTAAAGTCAAGTCAGCGTATGAAGCGAATTGATTGGTGCTTCAGTACAATAAATTAGTTCTGAAGCCTAATTTTGATTCTACTTGGCGAGAACTTACCAAATTAGTTCTCAACGCTAACTACTTTTTTTTCAGTGTATCCAAAACGTATTTTGGTTTAAAAAAACTAAGGAGAGTCCTAAAAACACGAAAACGAAGTCTTTCCTTAGTTTTTTCCTGTAAAAACACAAGACGGGTAGTCAAGGCTAAAAAACAACAAACACAAAGCCTGGGACGTTTTTGGGGTGGTTTCAACCCCCTCCTAGACCAGGAGACAAAGATAAATATAATGGGGGCCTAGGGATTTTGATTTTTTAAGTTTTTATATATTTTTGTTTCCTGGTCGAGGAGGGGGTTGAAACCACCCGGAAACGTCCTAAGATTTGTGTTAGTCGTTTTTTAGCCTTGATTACGCGTTTTCTTGTGTTTTTTAGTTGAAGTATTTGGGCTATTTTTGTGTATTATCGTTTATTCCTGAATATAATACAAAATTACCAAACGTTCTTGGCTCTTAGGAACGCAAGGAATTTTTCCGTTAAAAATCAATGAAGAGAGACGAAGAGATAGTGATTGTTACAGTTTTTTTTTTTTTTTTTTTTTTTTTTTTTTTTTTTTTTTTCAATTTTAGGACCATTATATACCTGACACCATCATATTTGAGTGTTGAAATATATTTTGAAGCATGTGGCGCGGCAACGATGAAAAAATAAGCCGCAAATTCTTGGCACGTTCGGGCCGCTGCTCATCGTGGCCAAACGTGCTTAAGCCCGTGGCCGAAACTGAGACCCAGACAGCAAGCGGTCGCACGAGTACTTGACTCGCTTTTGTTTCGGTTTAACCTCGTCAATGGACGTGAATAATGCGGACAGGGCAGGTGTCGGGATCCCGAGCCGAAACCTCGGAGCAAATATAACGGAATTATGGAGACGGGAAATTATGGAAAGAAAGTTCTGAATCTTTAAGGTGCGTAAAAATATTGTTTGACAATGGGCTTGTTGCAAACTTCAGCTAGAGAGAGAAGAAGAGTAATTTCTTACAGAAAATGGCTCAAAAATCACGATGAGCGCATTGGGAGCCTGACAGTGGCGTGGCGTGCTTTGCGATATATCGATTGATCTGCCATTTAAACCTATGGAAAAGGATCGATAAACAGGGTGTTCGCAGCGAACACCTTAATAATCGATTCTTTACCATAGTTTTAAATGGATTAACCAGCGATACATCGCAATTCATGCCACTCCACTGGAGCCTGAAATAATATAATAATAATAATAATAATGTTTTTGAACCCTTAATTTTAGCAATTTTAGAAGGCTCTAGGTTTGAAAGTGTTGGCTACGGTCCGTCTTTCAATCAGTTTAAATCCAAAAACGATTTATTTTTGTGAGAAAACTACATAATAATCACTGGAAAAGAAAACACATTGGATCTAGAGTCCAGACTCTTGAAAACATTGACAAGAAAAAATACTCTTGATTCAATCGGATTTTTGCTTGAATCAAAACGAAACCCGCTTAAATTAAGAGGCTTGGTTCTTGATTTAAGCCTATAGATTCTAATTGAATCAAGTGTACTTTTTCTTGTCGATGTTTTTAAGAGTCTGGACTCTAGATCCAATGTGGTTTTTTCCCCAGTGATATACAGCTTTATTTGTTGATTTGTGCACATGGCTTTACAAATGCGTCAAATTTTATAACAAGAAACACGCTCCTATCTTCACAATCTGCGTAACAAATATGCCTTGTTTTAAGATACCCGCTTCAAAAACGATACTGCGGCACACGGGAAAATTCCGTCAGAGCAGTCGTTCCATCCAACCCTTGCGTACTAAGATGATACGCAATGTTCAACATGGCCGACGCCAACCCGCCAAAACACACGTGGTGAGACGGGATTTTAGCAACCGGCGGGTTTATATTTACATTTTCCTTGCGTTGATTCAGACCATGGTAGTGCTTTCTCACGATTTGCGCGCCGAAGCGTCAGCCATGTTAAATACAAACGAGAAAAAGCGACCAAATCTCTCATTTCCTGAGAGTATAGTAATTTCTGATTTTGTCGTCTCACAGTGACACAAGAGATAGCACCTTTAATTAGTCGAGTTAAGAGAGAAACCAAACACGCAATTTGCCCTGGAACGGCGCGATTAAGAGAGAAATGATAACGAGGACTTGAGAAGAAAAGGAGAAACCCTCGGTGCGGCGATCGGCATGTAACACATATTAGCGCCCACAAGACTGCACGAATACTTCATGCATTGCATCAAACACAGTGTGGCCATTGCGTCATTGCGGTCAGCGTGAAACGGATAGCGCCTACAAGAATGCATGCCATGAATACCTCACGCATTGCGTCAAACACAGTGCGGTTTGCGCGGCGGCGGAAGTTAAAATCATTAATCCACATTTTACGTTTGTTCTCTCATACTTTTTTCGTTCATTTCTTATGAATGGAAGGCCTTGTCCACACAGAGATAGGTTCACGAAACTTA